TTGATGGACATTTGAGTTGTTTCCATTTTTTGGCTTTTATGAGTGAAGCACCTATGAACATTTGTGTCTTGGGTAAATACCTAGGAGTGGAATTGTTGAGTCTTATGGAAAGTAGATGTTTATAAGAAACTTCCAGACTGTTTTCCAAATTGCATTCTTACCACCAGAGCATTAATTTTCCCTCTGCTCCACTTCCTCACCAGCATTTGGCATTGCCAGTTTTAAATTTTTTATCCATTTTTATGGGTGTAGAGTATTTCGTTGTGGTTGTAATTTGCATTTCCCTAATGACTAGTAATGTGGACCGTCTTTTCATTTGCTTATTGGCTGTTCATATGTCTTCTTTGTTGATGTGTCTGTTAAAATCATTTACTCCTTTTGTAAATCTGGTTGACTTCTTGTTGAGTTGTAAGGCTTTAAATTCTTTATATTCTTGATAGAAGTCCCTTGTCAGATTTATGTTTTGCAAGTATTTTTTCTAGACTGCGTCTTGCTTTTTTATCTTCTAAATGGTATTTAAAAGAGCAAATGTTTTTCATTTTTATAAAGTCAACTCTCTATGGTTTGTGCTTTTGTGTCCTGAAAAATTTAACCCAAGGTCACAAAAATTTCCTCCTGTGTTTTCTGCTGGAAGTTTTATGGGCTTAGATCTTATGTTTAGGTCTGTAGTCCATTTTGAGTTTATTTTTTTATATCGTGAGAGGGTAAGGGTAGAGCTTCTTTTTTCTCATGTCTAATTTTCCCTGCACCATCTTTTTCTTTTCATTTCTCTTGGCACCTTTGTTGAAAATCACTTTACCATGTAAGTGTGAATCTGTTTATGGTTGTTCTTTACTTTTTGTTGATCTGTCTATCAATATGCCAGTATCACACTGTCTTGATTAGTTACTTTATAGAAGTCTTGAAATCAGGTAGTGTTAAGTTCTCCAACTTTGTTCTTTTTTGAAATTGTTTTGTCTATTCTATCTTTTGTATTTCCATAAAAATTTTAGAATCAGCTTGTCAATTTCTACCAAAAAATGCCTTCTGGGATTTTGATTGGAATTGTATTGTATTTATAGATCCATTTAGGGTGAATTGCCATCTTAACACATTGAGTCTTTCAATCCTTGAACGTGGTCTATCCATTTATTTAGGTTTTCTTTAAATATCTCAGCATTGTTTTATAGTTTTCGGTGTACAAGTCTTATACATCTTTGGTTAAATTTTTTATCAAGTATTTCAAGTGTGATTTACTTTTGAATTCTTATCTGGTAAGGTATCACAGGGCTTCTTGGATATTAAATGGACCAGTCTCTAACTCTGAGACTTTGACCAAACTTAAGACTGTGTAGAAGTAAATATTATATTTTTACTTGCATTTTTTAATATTAATGATACATTTTTCTAGTAAAGTTATTTTGACTTCTTAATCTTTAGATTATATCCTGATATTCTTTAATGTTTGATTGCAGTGAGGGTTGAATTTATGAGGATAAAAATCTTGCGGAATTCAGAGTTCCTTTATGATTTTCATGTAAATACTAAATTAGACCCCCCCAGTTACTGATTTATCATTTGAAGTTTTAATATGCATCTATTTGTATTAAATTCTGAATGTGAGTCGAACGGATCTGATCTGTGAGAGTTTTGCTGCCAGCCTAGTAGTTAGTTTATCTAATACCTAAAAATTATATTTGTGGTACGTTTTCCCCAGGAATTTCATAAGATTTAGAAGTACCAGCTTGCGAAAGTTTCTCTATATGGAAAGATTTTCAGTAAATTCAAAGATATAAGATCATTTGGGGGGATTCTTAACTTCCAGGCCAAATCTTGACTTCTTTACTATAAGAATTATCTTGGGCCAGTCTTTATAATCCTAGATTGTCTTCCTCACTTTTAAAGCCTGCAAGTTTAGGGAATAAAAACTGATTTTGCTCTTAGGCAACTGCAAATATAATTAGGACAGTAAATCTGATGTGCTGCCAAATTTGTAATGCATTTGAAAGTCAAATACACTTCTAGGGTATTTAATCACCTGAGCTTCCTAGATGGTGACCTCCTCCCTGTGTCTCCTCTCTCATGGGTGTTCTGGAGTTGGTGATGTAGGACTGTGATGATACAAACTCTGAGGAAAAATGGAACTGCCCTAATCCCACTGTCCAAAGAAAGCTATTAGGAACATTTTGGCATTTTTTGCTTTTACCCTTCAATTTCCTTGGGCAGCTGGAGTGGGGATTCTGAGTGGTTGTCCTTTAATTTCTGCCTTAATATTATATTAGCTGTTTCCAGAAGCTGTTATTTTTCAGTGATGACATACAGAATTTGGTACAAATGGTATAGATCAGATTAACAAAATGTGGAAGTAAGTCCTTTTGCCTCCTCTTTAGGATGATGACTTTGAGTTCACTGGCAGCCACCTGACAGTGCGGAATGGCTATTCCTGTGTACCGGTGGCGTTAGCAGAAGGCCTGGACATTAAATTGAACACAGCAGTTCGGCAGGTCCGCTACACAGCTTCAGGTATATCGCTGCTTTGCAGTTCAGATCTCTTCCTCTGAAACAGGGCACTGATCTGATCTCGTGATGAGCTGGACCTACAGCAAGAATATTGGGTACATTTCCTGATAGAATATTTTATAAAGTATGACTCCTGAATAAGATTTTTGCATTTATAGACTGATTGGGCCTATAGTACCTTTGGTAGTTTTAATCCCTCATTTTACAAACCAGGAAATTGAGTCAGGTTTTAGAGTTGCCGGTTTGTGCCTGAATTTATTTGGTATTATAGTAACAGCCAGCGAGTTTGTATTTGATTTAGCAAAGTATATTCCTGAATACAAACCACTGGGATTTTGGTCCTTGGACTCCAGTGGGACCCTCCCTTTGTTTTTCCCCATCTGCGTCCTGGCCTTCGGGTCCATTCTGGCTTTTCCTGTTCTGGTGGGCTAGCTCTCCTCCGGCTGCTTTCTCGTTCTGGGAGTAGTCCTGCTTAGAAGTTGACTTCACAGATGGAACTGCCCTGTGATTGCTATGGTACTCGTTCAGAGTTCATTGTTATTGCTAGTTGCAGGATACTTCCAATGTCAAACACAGAGAACCCACTGTCCACTCACTCACCTTTGAATTGCTAAAGTCTCAAAACTGCCGGCTCGCCAGTCCCCTCCCTTGCTGAGGACCCTTGTGTGACTGCATGACAAGTGGATGCAGCCACCAGTTGGCTCGCTGTAGCCCCTCCCTTGCCTGGAGTTGCTAAGTCATCACTGACACAGCTTTCCAGTTAATTTCCTATCAGAGGCAGCATCTCTCTGGTGCTGTTGAGAAGATCTGCAGTGTTTTTTGCAGGCAGATGGAGAACAGAATAGTTTTTGTTGTCATTTTCCCTAGTTTTGCAGCTACAGAAAGTTGGGTGTGTACTGAACTTTCATACTTATTTTGAGCTATTCTTATTTTTTGAAGTTATATAAATAATACACATTCATTGAAGGAAAAAAACCAAAGAAAATGAAAAAAATATTAATGTATTTTCAGTGCCTTTTCTGTGCTCAGCTTTGAGCTCGTTCCTCTTTTGACAAGCTAAGCTTCAAAGTACATTCTCAAGAGTAGCAGTGGTTTTAGGCCGTATACCTTAGATTTGCATCTCAGTCTTCTGACAACATTCTTCTCTTGGTTCTTAGCACCTAATCACAGGGGAGAGGTATTAGGTCCATTGAGACAAACATACTACTCTTATTTTCTAATTTTGGTCTAAGTTTACTTAACTTTGGTAAATGGTCACCTCCTTTCATTAGTCCAGAAGATCACCAGTACATCAGGAGGGAAGGGATAGATAGTATGGTGGTGATGAGTGAAGACTCTGAAGGTAACTTCTAGGGTTTGAATCCTGTCCCTTGTTACCTGTGTCACCTTAGACAAGTGACTTCACCTCTGCTTTGGAGTCCTTCTATAGAAAATGAAGATAATGAACCTATCTCATAGACTTATAGGAATGTGATATTGTGTAGATCCTACTGTGCACTGAATACTCAGTACCATCCTCATCACCAACACAGTCTTCTCCCTCCAATCTCTCTAGGATGTGAAGTGATAGCTGTGAACACCCGCTCCACGAGTCAGACGTTTATTTATAAATGTGATGCAGTTCTCTGTACCCTTCCCTTGGGTGTGTTGAAGCAGCAGCCACCAGCTGTTCAGTTTGTGCCTCCTCTGCCTGAGTGGAAAACATCTGCAGTCCAGAGGATGGGATTTGGCAACCTTAACAAGGTAACTGGCCTAGGCCCTCTCGGCACACCACTGCACAATAGCAGACTCACTGTCCTCCACTCACAGAGGAGAGGGATTTTTGTACATTTTGCTGTGCTCTCAGCTGGCTGATGAGAGGGCCAAGGCCTATCAGTTTATTCCCTTCAGAGCTGAATTACATATAAAATATCCTTGAAGACTTCCTCGTCTTATGGGGTCACCTGGCAAACCCTCGCCTACAAAAGGAGCCATAAATGTGGTCATACGTAGTACCATTTATAATAGGGATTTCTGGGCTTAAACTGAAAATAGATTAGAAGAGACCTTAATAAGGTCTCAGGAAGAAGAAAGTACTTCCTGTTGAGGCATAGCTTTGCTTAAAGCCACACTGTCTGAGCCCCGCCACCAACTCGTGTGCTCCTCCTTCTGGTAGGTGGTGTTGTGCTTTGACCGCGTTTTCTGGGATCCAAGTGTCAATTTGTTCGGGCATGTTGGCAGTACAACTGCCAGCAGGGGTGAGCTCTTCTTATTCTGGAACCTCTATAAAGGTAACTGCTTTTTAGTTTCAATCTTTTTCATAGCCTTATAGGAATAGCAGAATTAGGAATATTCTGGGTTTTTTCAAAAATACATGCCTTGATTTTTCTTTCCATTCACTCAACAAGCAAGTGCTGAATCCCTCCTAGGTGCTGGGGATATGAAAAAGGAAAAAAAATGCCTGTCTTCAGGGAGCTCCCAGCCTGGTAGGGGACACCAAAGGAGACAGGCAGTCCCAGAACTGGGCAGAAAGCGGAGTAACAGGGTGGAAGCCCAGGGCAGTGGAAAAGAACACAAAGAGAAGAATCAGGTCAGCCAGGTGGGGTTGGCCCAGGAGGGCTTCCTGGTTGGGGAAACTTGTATCCCTTATTCTCAGGCTTTCATACCTCACTTGCACCGGAATCTTTGATCACTTCCCTTCAAATGTATTTATCAGACTTCTACCTGCTGTTTCTAATTATTTTCTTCTGTAATTGGATTACTTTAATTCTATGCTAAAGAAAGTGTATTTATACCTTACCTGATTCCCAAGAAGAAGGATGTAAGACAGTAAGAGGTTCAGGTGACATCCTGCCATGCAGAGCATCAGGAGGCCTGGCCTTCACATGTCAGCTCACCAGCTTGATTCCACCCCCCAGTTCTGTCCACCTCTCCCCATTGCCTGAACCTGAATCCTCCTCCACCCTGCGGGGCCTCTCACCCCACAGAGGCAGCACTCGTTCCTTCCCCACTCGGGCCATCTCTAAGTCCTGTCAGCGCCTGCCTCAAAATCACTCTCAAATCTGTGCTTTTCCACTGCCCAACCCCCAGTCCAAGCCACTGTCACCTCTTACCTGAACTGTCGCCAGTAGCCACTGATACCCCTGCTTGGCTTTCTGTTGCATTAAGGAAAAAAGTTCAGACTCCTCGTCATGCATTTTTAAGGCCCCTCAGAATCTAGCCCTTATCAGCTCCTTCAGCTTCATCGTTGTCCATTCTCCCCACTTGTCCCCTGGGCTTCTGGCACACCTGTCTGCTTGAATATCCTGGAATGCACCATGCTGTTTTCTCCTCATGGCCCCTGCATGTCTGTGGCCTTGGTCTGGGATGCTCCACCCCCCACCCCCCCCATCTTTTTCTTCTCAACCTGGTTGACCCCCTCCTCAGCTTTCAGGTCTTGATCTAAATGTCACTTTTTCACACGGGCCTTCCAGGACATACCCCGACTCAACTGCCTCATATCTGACTTAAGTTCTTGTATTCTTTGAGTATTCTGTGCTTTTTTTGCACAGCTTTTATCACAGTTCATAATTCTATATCTGAATGATTATCTGTTGCTCTAATGGAGTATATAGTTTATAGGTTTTATATCCTTAGCACCTACTACTGTTGAATAAATAAGTCTGTTGAATAAATATCCACTGAATTTATGAATAAAGGTTGTGATGGGAGGGGCCTGGGATAACTGGAAAGGATGTAGCCATTGTCTTGGAGCTGTGTCAAGTAGTCAAGGCTAAGAATTCTATGCCTGAATATAGGAGTGCTTGTTAGTAGTGCTTGAAATTGTGTCTTTGGGACTGCTGTCTTCTGCACAGTGCCCGTGAGTCACACTTTTCTCACTGTAGTCTGCCAGCTCCCTTCTGAGGATTGACTTCGATTTGCTGTATCAGAAACATAACTTGTCTCTAGAGTTGGAGGGCTGCCGTGTCTGTTGTCAGATTTCAGAGCATCAAGAATAATACGAGCCATAGCAAGGTTCTTGAGGACAGTCTATAGGAGAACCTGGAATTGTCCCTCCTGTTTTTCTAGCTCCGATACTATTGGCACTGGTGGCAGGAGAAGCTGCTGGCATCATGGAAAACATAAGCGATGATGTGATTGTTGGCCGGTGCTTGGCCATTCTCAAAGGGATTTTTGGCAGCAGTGCAGTGCCCCAGGTAAGTGAGTGGGGTGGGGCAGCAAGGACCTGGAGTTCAGACTAAGCCAGGGTTTGGTGTATTAAGTTACAGCATAGGTTCTTGGTCAGGCTAGGTTCAGTCAGAATTGAGAAATGTGTGCTGGGTTTGCATGAATATTAAGGGTTGGAGTTCATGCCCTAAGTATGGGATTCAGAAAAGCCCCCCAGTACATGGGGTGAAGAAGGGGGTCTGAAGGCTCTTTGCTGCCAGCATGTCTCCTGCTGTTTGTCTTCCTCCTTGTCTCTGCTTGTGGGTCATACATACCCAATGCCCTTTAGACACAGTGGCCAAACTCCAGTGAATAGCTCAGGGAAGTCTTAACAGAATCTCTTGGTACTTTTTTCTGTTCTTACAGTCCCTTATGATTCCTTCGAGAGGAAGCATATTAATGCTCCATGTGAGTTTATAAGAGAATAAAGATCTGTATAAGCCCTGTGTAGATCTTTGGATTCATAGACAAGAAGGCAACATGGAGGTTTCCTTGCCACCTGAAGGCATTTTGCCTTTGTGTATTGTAAAACAGCAACATTCATCACTCAGCTGACCCTCATGTCTCTTGCCTCCGTCTCTCTCTCTCTCTCGTACCCCAGTGACCACAGCTTTTCCACCTTTCAGAGATGATTGGTTTGTCCTTGGTGTCTAGTAATGACTTTTGCTCATGTTTTTTTCTTAGCCCAAGGAGACTGTGGTGTCTCGCTGGCGTGCCGATCCCTGGGCCCGGGGCTCCTATTCGTATGTAGCTGCAGGATCGTCTGGAAATGACTATGATTTAATGGCTCAGCCAATCACTCCTGGCCCCTCAATTCCAGGTGCCCCACAGGTGAGAAACTGGCATACTGTACCTGAGCTTATTTGGGAAGAGACCAGAATCTCAGGGTGAAAATGCTGCCACTGATTTCTTAGATTCTAGTCATCCTATCCCTGGACCCTTTCAGACAATCAAGAGGAAAAGGGAAGAGCAGTACGATTTGCATCTGAGAATTCGTAATGGCTCAGAACGCTGTTACAGTGTCTCAGTTACTAGAGGCCTCCAAGGCATGCCCCTGAGAAATAAGCTCAGTGTCTAGATAAGTCTGGATATTGCCAGACCCTGCTCCAGAGAACAGTAAGGGTTCCTATTAACCAGACCCCAGGTGCCGTGGCTTTCTAAGGCCTGCTGCGAGCTAGAGGCAAAGGTTCCTAAGAACAAATGCTGTGCTCTCTTGGTTCAGAGTAGTCAGGAGTAGTAGCTGCCACATGAGGCATGGAAGCTCTAGCTCTGAGTATCCCCCAGCGTTAAGCTGATAAATAAGAACAGATGCAGTTAAGCATCACCCTAGAACTGAGGCTGGGCTCAGTTTTATTGTTCCATTTCTACTGTCAATCCTAGGGAAATGCCTACTGATGAGGGAGATGTGAGAAACCTTTTTGGTAGAATGATGGGCTAGTAACTGGGGGATCAGCCTTCAAAGGTCAACAGGAATTTGGCAGTTCAAACACAAAGTGTATTTGTAAAACCTACTGATTCTTTCTTAATTTTTCCCCTGAAATAGCCAATTCCACGACTCTTCTTTGCGGGAGAACATACAATCCGTAACTACCCAGCCACAGTCCATGGTGCTTTGCTGAGTGGGTTGCGAGAAGCAGGAAGGATTGCAGACCAGTTCCTGGGGGCTATGTACACCCTGCCTCGCCAGGCCACACCAGGGGTCCCTGCACAGCAGTCCCCAAGCATGTAAGACAGGCACCTTCTAAGGGAAGAGGCTGGTGTCTTTTGCTGCAGTAAGCAAAGCTCTTCTAGCAATACTGGATTCCACTGAGAAACTCTTCCCTGGACCTGGGCGCACGATCAGCTGCCGGCTTATTGTGATCGGATGGCCAAGAAGGTTGCTTCTTTTGAGTGACCTGGAGCATAGGGAGGAACTTATCCATTAGTCTGATACTCTGTGTTCTTCGTAAATACTGAGGCAAGCAAGCACTGTGGAATAACATCTTAGTCTCTTGTGTGATTGGTTTTTTTGTATTTTGAAAATAAAACTTCATATAAAATTAGTCCTATCTTTTTTGTTTCTGCTTTGGGTTGGAGTTGTGTATTAGACAGGGTGTTACTCCTTTGGAAATGCCAGTTTTCCCCTATAGCGATAGTGGTTAAGTGTATGTTCTCCATGTTTAATTAAGGATGGTGATCATACAAAGGATTTGGTCATGTCTGAAGATAGGGTTGAGGGGGC